ACAGGGGGCGATCACACAAACTCCACTCACTCTGTAGAACAGGGAGAGATCAAACAAACTCCACTCACTCTGTAGACCAGGGAGAGATCACACAAACTCCACTCACTCTGTAGAACAGGGGGACATCACACAAACTCCGCTCACTCAGTAGAACAGGGGGAGATCACACAAACTCCTCTCTGTAGACCAGGGAGAGATCACAGAAACTCCACTCACTCTATAGAACAGGGGGCGATCACACAAACTCCACTCACTCTGTAGAACAGGGGGAGATCACACAAACTCCACTCCTCTCTGTAGACCAGGGAGAGATCACACAAACTCCACTCACTCTGTAGACCAGGGAGAGATCACACAAACTCCTATCTGTAGACCAGGGAGAGATCACACAAACTCCTCTCACTCTGTAGAACAGGGGGAGATCACACAAACTCCACTCACTCTGTAGAACAGGGAGAGATCACACAAACTCCACTCACTCTGTAGACCAGGGAGAGATCACACAAACTCCTCTCACTCTGTAGAACAGGGGGAGATCACACAAACTCCTCTCTGTAGACCAGAGAGAGATCACACAAACTCTACTCACTCTGTAGAACAGGGAGAGATCACACAAACTCCACTCACTCTGTAGAACAGGGAGAGATCACACAACCGCCACTCAGTCTTTAGACCAGGGGGAGATCACACAAACTCCACTCTGTAGAACAGGGGGAGATCACACAAACTCCACACACTCTGTAGAACAGGGGGAGATCACACAATCTCCACTCACACACTCTGTAGAACAGGGGGAGATCATACAAACTCCACTCACTCTGTAGAACAGGGAGAGATCACACAAACTCCACTCACTCTGTAGAACTGGGAGAGATCACACAAACTCCACTCTGTAGAACAGGGGGAGATCACACAAACTCCACACACTCTGTAGAACAGGGGGAGATCACACAATCTCCATTCACACACTCTGTAGAACAGGGGGAGATCATACAAACTCCACTCACTCTGTAGAACAGGGAGAGATCACACAAACTCCACTCACTCTGTAGAACAGGGAGAGATCACACAAACTCCACTCTGTAGAACAGGGGGAGATCACACAAACTCCACACACTCTGTAGAACAGGGGGAGATCACACAATCTCCATTCACACACTCTGTAGAACAGGGGGAGATCATACAAACTCCACTCACTCTGTAGAACAGGGAGAGATCACACAAACTCCACTCTGTAGAACAGGGAGAGATCACACAAACTCCACTCACTCTGTAGAACAGGGGGACATCACACAAACTCCACTCACTCTGTAGTACAAGGAGAGATCACACAAACTCCACTCACTCTGTAGACCAGGGAGAGATCACATAAACTCCTCTCTGTAGACCAGGGAGAGATCACACAAACTCCACTCACTCTATAGAACAGGGGGCGATCACACAAACTCCACTCACTCTGTAGAACAGGGAGAGATCAAACAAACTCCACTCACTCTGTAGACCAGGGAGAGATTACACAAACTTCACTCACTCTGTAGAACAGGGGGAGATCACACAAACTCCACTCACTCTGTAGAACAGGGAGAGATCACACAAACTCCACTCACTCTGTAGAACAGGGGGAGATCACACAAACCCCACTCACTCTGTAGAACAGGGAGAGATCACACAAACGCCACTCACTCTGTAGACCAGGGAGAGATCACACAAACTCCTCTCACTCTGTAGAACAGGGGGAGATCACACAAACTCCTCTCTGTAGACCAGGGAGAGATCACACAAACTCTACTCACTCTGTAGAACAGGGAGAGATCACACAAACTCCACTCACTCTGTAGAACAGGGGGAGAAATCACACAAACTCCACTCACTCTGTAGAACAGGGAGAGATGACACAAACTCCACTCAGTCTGTAGACCAGAGAGAGATCACACAAACTCCACTCCTCTTTGTAGACCAGTGAGAGATCACACAAACTCCACTCACTCTGTAGACCAGGGAGAGATCACACAAACTCCTCTCTGTAGACCAGGGAGAGATCACACAAACTCCTCTCACTCTGTAGAACAGGGAGAGATCACACAAACTCCACTCACTCTGTAGAACAGGGGGACATCACACAAACTCCACTCACTCTGTAGTACAAGGAGAGATCACACAAACTCCACTCACTCTGTAGACCAGGGAGAGATCACATAAACTCCTCTCTGTAGACCAGGAAGAGATCACACAAACTCCACTCACTCTATAGAACAGGGGGCGATCACACAAACTCCGCTCACTCTGTAGAACAGGGAGAGATCAAACAAACTCCTCTCTGTAGACCAGGGAGAGATCACACAAACTCCACTCACTCTATAGAACAGGGGGCGATCACACAAACTCCACTCACTCTGTAGAACAGGGGGAGATCACACAAACTCCACTCCTCTCTGTAGACCAGGGAGAGATCACACAAACTCCACTCACTCTGTAGACCAGGGAGAGATCACACAAACTCCTATCTGTAGACCAGGGAGAGATCACACAAACTCCTCTCACTCTGTAGAACAGGGGGAGATCACACAAACTCCACTCACTCTGTAGAACAGGGAGAGATCACACAAACTCCACTCACTCTGTAGACCAGGGAGAGATCACACAAACTCCTCTCACTCTGTAGAACAGGGGGAGATCACACAAACTCCTCTCTGTAGACCAGAGAGAGATCACACAAACTCTACTCATTCTGTAGAACAGGGAGAGATCACACAAACTCCACTCACTCTGTAGAACAGGGAGAGATCACACAACCGCCACTCACTCTTTAGACCAGGGGGAGATCACACAAACTCCACTCTGTAGAACAGGGGGAGATCACACAAACTCCACACACTCTGTAGAACAGGGGGAGATCACACAATCTCCACTCACACACTCTGTAGAACAGGGAGAGATCATACAAACTCCACTCACTCTGTAGAACAGGGAGAGATCACACAAACTCCACTCACTCTGTAGAACAGGGAGAGATCACACAAACTCCACTCTGTAGAACAGGGGGAGATCACACAATCTCCACTCTGTAGAACAGGGGGAGATCACACCATCTCCATTCACACACTCTGTAGAACAGGGGGAGATCATACAAACTCCACTCACTCTGTAGAACAGGGAGAGATCACACAAACTCCACTCACTCTGTAGAACAGGGAGAGATCACACAAACTCCACTCTGTAGAACAGGGGGAGATCACACAAACTCCACACACTCTGTAGAACAGGGGGAGATCACACAATCTCCATTCACACACTCTGTAGAACAGGGGGAGATCATACAAACTCCACTCACTCTGTAGAACAGGGAGAGATCACACAAACTCCACTCTGTAGAACAGGGAGAGATCACACAAACTCCACTCTGTAGAACAGGGGGAGATCACACAAACTCCATTCACTCTGTAGACCAGGGGGAGATCACACAAACTCCACTCACTCTGTAGAACTGGGAGAGATCACACAAACTCCTCTCACTCTGTAGAACAGGGGGAGATCACACAAATTCCACTCACTCTGTAGAACAGGGAGAGATCACACAAACTCCACTCACTCTGTAGAACAGGGGGAGATCACACAAACTCCACTCACTCTGTAGAACAGTGAGTGATCACACAAACTCCACTCACTCTGTAGACCACGGAGAGATCACACAAACTCCTCTCACTCTGTAGAACTGGGGGAAATCACACAAACTCCTCTCTGTAGACCAGGGAGAGATCACACAAACTCTACTCACTCTGTAGAACAGGGAGAGATCACACAAACTCCACCCACTCTGTAGAACAGGGAGAGATGACACAAACTCCACTCCTCTCTGTAGACCAGGGAGAGATCACACAAACTCCACTCACTCTGTAGAACAGGGGGAGATCACACAAACTCCACTCACTCTGTAGAACAGGGGGAGATCACACATACTGCACTCACTCTTTAGAACAGTGAGAGATCACACAAAGTCCACTCACTCTGTAGAACAGGGGGAGATCACACAAACTCCACTCACTCTGTAGAACAGGGAGAGATCACACAAAGTCCACTCACTCTGTAGAACAGGGGGAGATCACACAAACTCCACTCACTCTGTAGAACAGGGAGAGATCACACAACCGCCACTCACTCTTTAGACCAGGGGGAGATCACACAAACTCCACTCTGTAGAACAGGGGGAGATCACACAAACTCCACACACTCTGTAGAACAGGGGGAGATCACACAATCTCCACTCACACACTCTGTAGAACAGGGGGAGTTCACACAAACTCCACTCACTCTGTAGAACAGGGGGAGATCACACAAACTCCACTCACTCTGTAGACCAGGGAGAGATCACACAAACTCCACTCACTCTGTAGAACAGGGAGAGATCACACAAACTCCACTCTGTAGAACAGGGGGAGATCACACAAACTCCACACACTCTGTAGAACAGGGGGAGATCACACAAACTCCACACACTCTGTAGAACAGGGGGAGATCATACAATCTCTATTCACACACTCTGTAGAACAGGGGGAGATCATACAAACTCCACTCACTCTGTAGAACAGGGAGAGATCACACAAACTCCACTCTGTAGAACAGGGGGAGATCACACAAACTCCACTCTGTAGAACAGGGGGAGATCACACAATCTCCACTCACACACTCTGTAGAACAGGGGGAGATCACACAATCTCCACTCACACACTCTGTAGAACAGGGGGAGATCACACAAACTCCACTCTGTAGACCAGGGTGAGATCACACAAACTCCACTCACTATAGAATCGGTGGAGACCATACAAACTCTGCACAGTAAGTGCCCGAGTCGGTAATCGAACCCAGGCCTTCCTTGCTGCGAGGCGGTGAGTGTCGCCACGGCGCGGCCACCACCCTGGTACCGTCCCGGCCGTGCCGTTCCATCTCCCGGTCCTGCGCTCCCCTGCCCCCCTCTCCTCTCTGTGCCGCCGTGCTGGACGCAGTGACCACGGGCAGCAGTGAGGTCGGGGCGCTGGGCAGCATCTTCCTGCAGGTGAGGCTCCTCCTGGCATCGCTTCCTTCCCTCTGCCTGCCGTGGCGTGCGTTCGCGCTCGCGCGTGTTTGTGGGGAGCGAGCGTTCGACGCTTCACGCGGCCTTCAAGTGCACGTAGCCCGGCGCAGGCGCCGTGGTGACGTCGCCGCCACTTAGTGGAGTATGGCTGCTGCTGCTGTTGTTGTTGTTGTGTGGGGAGCGGCGGTGTCGCGATCAGCACGCCGCTCTGAGCCCGGCGACCCGAGCTCGATTCCCGCTCACGGCCACCAACACCGGCGGTGACGATTATCTGAACCGGTCCCCTGGGCCTCCCCTAGGTCGACTCGGCCTCAAATGAGTACCCCGTGCGGTGTGTAAAAACATCGCCACTGGGGGAGACAAAGGCGGCCGGGCGTGGTGCTGGCCCACCCACCCCCTCGAGGCGCCGTGCCGGCATTCGTAGGTGCTGCCCGCTAGCAGCACTCGCCCCCCTCCAGTCTGTCACAGGCTACACGGGGGACCTTTGTCTTTGTGTGCGGGCACGGGGAGTGGTCGATGCTTCGTTGGGGGGAAGCGGTGACGATCATGTGAACTCATCCTGGGCCCCCTCTAGGTCGACTCGGGACTTAATTGAGCATCTGGTGTTGTGAGCGCAAATGTCCGCACCGGGGAGACAAAGGCGGCCGGCCGTCGTGCTGGCCACCCAACCGCCCCTGCGGCGTTGCCGGCCTTCGTCGGAGGCTGCTCGCTGTCCGCACTTGCCCCGACAGTCTGTTCAAGGCTACTCGGGGGATCTTTGTCTTATGTGCGTGCGGCGATAAATGCCGCAGCCAGTCAATCTCGGTGGGTCAACCCATGGCACCCCCGGGTCTGTCCCGCGACCTCCTCCTGCCTGCGGCGAGCCTTCCACACATTTCTCGTGGTCCCAGCCTGCCACAGTGCACCTAGTCTGGCACAAGCGTGGCGGCGGCGGTTGTTGTTGTTGGTGTTGGTGGGTGTGTGATGATGTTTGTCTCTCTCGCTCTCTGTCTGTGCAGCTGAAACTCGTGCTGAGGAAAGGAACGCAGCTTCAGAACGTCTACCTGGGTGAGTGAGCATGGGGGTGAGTGAGCATGGGGGGTGAGCGAGCATCGGGGGTGAGTGAGCATGGGGGTGAGCGAGCATGGGGGTGAGTGAGGCATGGGGATGAGCGAGCATGGGGGTGAGCGAGCATGGGGGTGAGCGAGCATGGGGGTGAGCGAGGCATGGGGGTGAGCGAGCAGTGGGGGTGAGCGAGCGCGGGGGTGAGCGAGCGTCGGGGGTGAGCGAGCGCGGGGGGTGAGCGAGCGCGGGGGGTGAGCGAGCGTCGGGGGTGAGCGAGCGCGGGGGTGAGCGAGCGTCGGGGGTGAGCGAGGGAGGGGGTGAGCGAGCGCGGGGGGTTAGCGAGCGCGGGGGTGAGCGAGGGAGGGGGTGAGCGAGCGCGGGGGTGAGCGAGGGAGGGGGTGAGCGAGCGTGGGGGTGAGCGAGCGTGGGGGGTGAGCGAGGGAGGGGGTGAGCGAGTGCGGGGGGTGAGCGAGCGTGGGGGTGAGCGAGGGAGGGGGTGAGCGAGCGTGGGGGTGAGCGAGCGGGGGGGTGAGCGAGCGGGGGGGTTAGCGAGCGGGGGGGTGAGCGAGCGTCGGGGGTGAGCGAGGGAGGGGGTGAGCGAGCGTGGGGGTGAGCGAGGGAGGGGGTGAGCGAGCGGGGGGGTGAGCGAGCGCGGGGGTTAGCGAGCGGGGGGGGGTGAGCGAGCGGGGGGTGAGCGAGGGTGGGGGTGAGCGAGCGTGGGGGTGAGCGAGCGCAGGGATGAGCGAGCGCGGGGGTGAGCGAGGGAGGGGGTGAGCGAGCGCAGGGGTGAGCGAGGGAGGGGGATGAGCGAGCGTGGGGGTGAGCAAGGGAGGGGGTGAGCGAATGTGGGGGTGAGCGAGCACGGGGGTGAGCCAGCGCGGGGGTGAGCCAGCGCGGGGGTGAGCGAGCGTCGGGGTAAGTGAGTGTCGGGGTGAGTGAGTGTCGGGGTGAGTGAGTGTCGGGGGTGAGCGAGTGTCGGGGGTGAGCGAGCGTGGGGGTGAGAGATAGCGGTGGCGAGCGAGCGTGGGGGTGAGCGAGCGTGGGGGTGAGAGATCGCGGGGGTGAGTGAGTGTCGGGGATGTAGTGACACACTCAGCAGTGGCTGCTGAGTGTGTCACTACATCGCAGAACCACGAGGGGTGGGGACGACTTGGGAAGGCCTTCATCCAGCAGTGGACTTATCATGGCTGATGGTCATGGGGAAAAGCGGGTGCTTAAGCGCTGCAGTTGTAGCAAATTGCTGAACAGAAACATTGTAAACAAGAATGAGTGAATTGCGCTGGAGTGAAGGATCGTGGATGACGGGTGTGTGTATGTTGCACTTCTTTCGCACTGTACGTAGCCAACCGTGCTAATCCGAGGTGCAGTGTTAGTCTATGGGCAGTGTTGAGTCTATGGGTAGTGTTAGTCTATGGGCAGTGTTAGTCTATGGGTAGTGTTGAGTCTGTGGGTAGTGTTGAGTCTATGGGTAGTGTTAGTCTATGGGCAGTGTTGAGTCTGTGGGTAGTGTTAGTCTATAGGCAGTGTTGAGTCTATGGGTAGTGTTAGTCTATAGGCAGTGTTGAGTCTATGGGTAGTGTAGTCTATGGGCAGTGTTGAGTCTATGGGTAGTCTTAGTCTATGGGCAGTGTTGAGCCTATTGTAGTGTTAGTCTATGGGCAGTGTTGAGTCTATTGGCAGTGTTGAGTCTTTGGGCAGTGTCGAGTCTATGGGTAGTGTTAGTCTATGGGCAGTGTTAGTCTATGGGCAGTGTTTGGTCTATGGGTAGTGTTAAGTCTATGTGGGTATAGTGTTAGTCTATGGGCAGTGTTTAGTCTTTGGGCAGTGTCGAATCTATGGATAGTGTTTGTCTTTGGGTAGTGTTAGTCTATGGGTAGTGTTAGTCTTTAGGCAGTGTTGGGTATATGGGTAGTGTTAGTCTATAGGCAGTGTTGAGTCTATGGGTAGTGTTGAGTCTATGGGTAGTGTTAGTCTATGGGCAGTGTTGAGTCTATGGGTAGTGTTAGTCTATGGGTAGTGTTGAGTTTTTGCGAAGTGTTGAGTCTATGGGCAGTGTTAGTCTATGGGTAGTGTTAGTCCATGGGCAGTGTTGAGTCTATGGGTAGTGTTAGTCTATGGGTAGTGTTAGTCCATGGGCAGTGTTAAGTCTATGGGTAGTGTTGAGTCTATTCTAGATTTAAAGCTTTCGTGACTGCAAGGATCCATACTCTTTGGTTCTATTGGGTAAAGTCACGTAGGTAAAAAATAAAATAACAAAAATCACGACGTTTCGGCCACAACACAAGCGGCCTTCATCAGGTGAAGGGACGAGACTGTCTGGAGGACAGCGCTGGAGTGAAAAAAGCCACGCTCAGATCACGACCTTTAAGCTGTGTGAGAGGAAACAAAGCGCCTTGATAAAGGAATTAGCATAAAATTTAGCATTGAAATGGCTGAGTGATTAGCTTGTGACTGGTCACAGAAATGGATATGTTAAAGTTAAAGCATACACATCCGCAAAGGCACCCCTTGACAAAGGAATTAGCATAGAATTTAGCGTTGAAATAGCTGAGTGATTAGCTTGTAACTGGTCACAGAAATAGCTATGTTAAAGTCAGAGCATATACATTCACCGAGGCACCTAGTACAAATCAAACAGGAGAATTTAGCGAAACACAACCACGCTCAGACCGCGGACCTTTAAGCTGTGTGCGCGCAAACAAGGTGTCCTGACAAAGAAATTAGCATAAAAAATTAGCATTTGATTGGCCGATTTTAGAAAAGAGGTGGTGTACGTGCTGGTGGACTAGCCGTTTGGCGGGGGGGAGTTTACCTATTGATGGTGTGAAAAGGGAATTTATAAGAGCTGCGAAAGTTTGGGGTACCACTACTTGAAAAAATATACTGTACCATTGAAATTAGTTTAATGTTTAGTTCGATTTAGAACATCTGTCCAATGGTTGCTTAATTTGAAACCATCTTCTCGGTTGAAATTGTGTCTGTGTTTGTAGATCTGAATTGCCTCGTGAACAAATCTCTGATAAAAACCCGTGGGTTTTCAAAGAACCTTGGTATCGGAGAAAATTATATCGTGATCACCCACAGCGTTGTAACAGTGATCAGCCACGGCAGAGTTGAGTCTATGGGTAGTGTTAGTCTATGGGTAGTGTTGAGTCTATGGGTAGTGTTAGTCTATGGGTAGTGTTAGTCTATGGGTAGTGTTAGTCTATGGGTAGTGTTGAGTTTATGGCCAGTGTTGAGTCTATGGGTAGTGTTGAGTATATGGCAGTGTGAGTCTATGGGTAGTGTTAGTCTATGGGCAGTGTTGAGTCTATGGACAGTGTTAGTCTATGGGTAGTGTTAGTCTATGGGTAGTGTTAGTCTATGGGTAGTGTTAGTCTATGGGTAGTGTGGAGTTTATGGGCAGTGTTGAGTCTATGGGTAGTGTTGAGTGTATGGGTTGTGTTAGTCTATGGGCAGTGTTGAGTCTATGGGTAGTGTTAGTCTATGGGTAGTGTTAGTCTATGGGTAGTGTTAGTCTATGGGTAGTGTTAGTCTACGGGTAGTGTTAGTCTATGGGTAGTGTGAGTCTATGGGTAGTGTTAGTCTATGGGTAGTGTTAGTCTACGGGTAGTGTTAGTCTATGGGTAGTGTTAGTCTATGGGTAGTGTTAGTCTATGGGTAGTATGTATGTATGTTGAACTAATTTCGCACCGTACGTAGCCAACCGTGCTAACCCGAGGTGCAGTGTGATGTAAATAACAAGAACAATGTTGTTGTTGTTGTGCACTTCTCCGTGTGCATTGCAGAGCTGACGCTGCCACAGTTCTACAACTTCCTGCACGAGATGGAGAGAGCGAAAGCGAGCCTCGACAGCTTCCTGTGAGAGGGGCAGGGAGAAGGGAGGGAGGGAGAGGGGGGGGGAGGGAGAGGG